GCTTTCTTCAAACTTGTTCATATAAAATGAATACAAAATAAATAAATAATTTCCATCACACGTAACTAAATCACAATAGGGCCTCTCAAACCTCCCTGATGCACATTTAAATTAATATTAATCGCTGTCATGATTTTGGCCTTTTCGCTGACACCTCCTTCCAGTTAGCGGTGTATTTAAGAAACAAGATTTCTAGTCCCTCTCTCTCTGCTCTTTCGCTGCCACCTCTGACCTCAACAGTAAAGCACTCTTGCTTAGCCCCACCACCACCTCACAACCCACCTGTAGACTCTGACTGGGGGTTTAAGTTATTATACCATCACTCCTCAGCTTTCTGCATGTAAATTCAAACTGTGGGGAAGGATTAGGTCGGAGCCTAGACACCAAACACAAACTATGTTCTGCTGCAATACCTTTTCAACCAAACAAATGTGAGTTGTCTGCCTGAAATAATATTAGAGACATGAGGCTTTAAAAACACAATCACAGATATTCATGTTAATTTGATACTCATAGAGGCAATCTGTCCTTCAGGCTTGACTCTATAACTCTACCATTAATAGATGACTCTGAATAGGCTCCCGTATGAGCTTACTGTACCTGAGTTAGTGATGCATGGAGGATGCTTCCCCACTGCAGTGACATCATCATCATCATCATCATCATCATCAGTCCATTGCTGATCCTTAATAAGATCATCAGTCCCAGTTTTTCTTTCTGCGGTTCCCTGAATCGATTCATCGTATTTGTTACGATAAATGTCACAACGTTTGGGTTGTGCACGCTGATGAAGTGATGCCTTCTTTTTATTGAGTTTAGATTTATTCATAACATGTAAAGTTCTCTTCTCTGTGTGTTTCTCTGCAGCTATAACTCCTTTGGTTCCAGCTTTAGTGAGACGTTTTAGAGCGTCAGGATTTGAAGTGGTTTGTTCAGATGTCTTTCCCCCTCTTGCAGGTGACTCTACGAGGCGTCCTGGTTCTGTTCCTTTTCTCTGTCTTGCTCTGAGGTGGTGCAGCTGATCCACACAGAGCTGATACCGCTCATAGACAGTCAGAGTCAGAGGTATTTTCAAACGACTGAGGCTTGAAGTCTTTTCCACGTCTTCCTGTGTCTTCTCAAACTCAGTTTCACTCGTGTTTCTCTTTGCAGAAGCTAAGCTAGATTGTTGTTCTTTGTTTGTTTCTGCTCCCTTTTTAACCATCCTCACATCCTCTGTTCTCTCTTCCTTCTTTGTCCCCACCTCCCCCTCCCCCTCGTACTTGACTTTACTCAGCTCAGTCCGGCGTCTTGTTTTCTCTCTCCTTGTGTCTGTTTTAGAGTTTAGTTTCAACATCTTGAGAGAGTTATTGATGTTCAATTTGGGTTCTCTGATCAAGTACGTTGCACCATTTGATGTGAAATTTCTGCAGTTTTCTTGTCTCAGAGTGTTTTTGTTGGTGGCGTCCAGGAGCTCCATATTTTGTAATTTTTCTTGCCAAGTAGCCTCATCTTTCCCCAGAGTAAAAGAACAAGGTGTGTGGGGATCATCAAAACAAGAGGGTTGTGTACATGAACCAAGGTGACTATTTGATTCAAGTTTCCAGACTTTCTCCATACCTTCTTCTTCTCCTCCTCCTCTTCCTCCATAAGCAGTATTACCACCTGCACTACAGAAAACATGAGGGTGGTATCTAGCTGAAGCTGATATTTTCTTCTCTTCATCAGCCAACATCAAACTCTCAGCTTTGCAGAATTCACGATGAACTTCTGACCCTCCGCTGAGAAAAGTGTGAGCCAAGTCCAACACCTGCCTCAGCTTCTGCTGCTCGCTGAGCAGAGACTCACTGAGGAGATGAAGGCTCAGCTCCTGGTCCGTCATTTTCCTACAGTTCCCACAATCCTCCAGGAGTTCAGACACAGAATGTCCCGTTGTTGTGTCATGATGCTTCTTCATACTTGAGTTTGTGGAGTCGTTGGAAGCTCACATCACCACCAAGCTCCTTTTGCATTTTCTTGATACTTAAGATAATCTGTTGTGTTGTTAGCATGAGCTAAACAAACACAAACATGTCCTGTTAAAAAAAGAAAAAAATAAGCTATTTGTATGGAAATAAACATCATGAATAAAATAGGTCTGTGAAATTAACAGCAGTTTGTTATCATGAAACCAATCACAAAGGTGGGAATTTATCACAACCAATAAGAACAATCTTTTTTTAGTGTAAACAAGCAAAGTTTTCTTACTCGGCTTGGTACATTTTACTCGTTGGATGGAGCCTTATTTATAAGCGGCCATGCCTTCAGAACATTGTGATGCAGTCATATGAGGCTAAACCATGCTATCAAGGGCCCATGGAGGTTAGCGACAACTTGGTGCATCTTCATATGACCAGAATTGACTTTACACCTAAATACTCACCCTTAGCTCTGAAATCAACTAAAGACACATATTATGTATTGTTGCGCCAGTAAAATGTACCATTTCAAAATGTCAGCCCCCCTCTTCTTCTTTTTTTTTGTAATGTTGCCAGTTTAAGTGGGCCCAGAGGGAGTTTATGTTAGCCAGGAGGAACACCACTGATCGAATGTGCCTGTTGTTTTAAATCATTTCCTGTGAGGGCCCACTCACTGAGCCTTTCAGGGGCCTGATTGGAGCCATTTAAGCAAACGTATTTAGATTTCTTTTGGATTCAGAATGGGCATGTTACAAACTAATGCAACATGTTTTACAAAATACCTAATATGCACTCTTTACTCTTGTTTTTTTTTATCACACTGCGTAAACCTGGTCACAATATTAAACAAAGTCATCACACATTGAACATTCTTCTCACATGATAAAACAGCAGCTACACAAAAATCCTACCTTCTTGTGGAGTCAAAGACATAGAGATGGCTTGAGATCTTTGGTTGAAGAAGTTATCTACTTAAAAGTAGACATGATGGTCAACAAGTCTACTATAGTACTTCAGCAATCACTGCAATCAACTCCTGAAAGATTTAAACACTCAATGTATGCCAAAATCTTGTCTCACTTACACAAACATCACCATGGAGACGCCAACACAAAGTTCAATGTCTCTTTCTCACCACCTGAGGGAGACAAAGCTCAGGATTTCAGTACTTGCTGACGGACAAAAACTAAAAAATATAAAGAAGATATTTTTAAACTCCTATTGAACAATTATAACACGTGTATAATAGAAGTGATGACACCAGAGATTGAAAAATTCACACTTTAGGCAACATATTTCAATATATATTCATCAGGGAGCTTTATTGTGGCAGTATTAACATATAAAACAATCCATGTTTTCTTTTTATAACATACAAACATTCAAAATTTTCACTTCACAAAGTTCATAAGGCTTGGTTGTCCCAGAAGACAGGGGTCATTATTTGGGGCTTTTTTTTGTCTTATTCTTCTTAAATTAAATCTCCCAGAGTTTCTTATTAAAAAGAGACTAAATGACAAAACTAAATAAATAAAAATATTCTAACTAAACCAATAAAACAACTTAACAATCAGTCCAACAATCAAAAACAACAAAGTGACCGTGCAAGAGAATCTGCTACTGTACATGCCGACACAACACTGAAATAATACTTGTTTTTCTTTTATACCACGTGATGTCAAATAGATTTGCATATAGTCGACCTGAGTTCAAATATTTAAAATCTTAAATACTCAATCAAAAGTAAATATTGTGTCTTAGGTATTTAATTTAATTTAAGGTTTGTAAATACTTGACTCATGTCAGAAAGTTCTGAATTTGTGAAACTTCAGATATGACATCGACTGGTGGATGGCGTGGATGATGTGTTTTTTAAATCACAGTTTTATGTTCAAACAGGCAACAAAACGTGTTCTCTCAGTCCATGTTTACATACGGTTTAACAGGATAAGTAGTTCAGTAGCTTGAAACAAGAGCTAAATCTCAAAAGGCTAAAACTCCCTTTTAAACTCAAAAGGCTGCTAACTGTTTCAAGAGCTACATGCTAATGTAATGCTACAGAGAGTCTTATTTAATTACAGAAACAAAAGGCCTTTAGCTGTTTAAACTGGGATGAGTAGTTACTTTCCATTTTCCAAGCGGAGCTTTTCAAACATATTTTTCATCTTTGTCAGTAGCATGTGCCGTTAGCAATGACGTTATGTGTTAGCGTTAGCATCTAGCTTTAAGAAAACACAAAGCACAATTTGAGAAATGTTTAATATTTTTCAAGCAGCTATCATGAACTTACTGATGTAAGCTAACAAGATGCAATTCTTGTCAAGTTGATAGTTGAAAAGTTAAATGAGAAACAAGCTAACGTAATTCCCGTACTAAGGGCCTTTTGATGAGTGGTTTAACTGAACACTTTCAATAAAGTGTTCTTTAAACATTTTTAAAAACTGAACATCTTAACCATTCATCCAGTAGCATGAGACTTGTGAGATTGGATATAAGTGTTAGAATTTTAATGAGAGCTTTCACAAAGAAGCTAACTAGCCAAAACCTTTTCAGTCTAGTCTTTTATCTTTTCAGTAGTCAGTAGCATGCGCCATTTGAAATGAGTTCAGGCGTTAGTGTTAGCGTCTGACTAATGAAACACACAGCGGAAGCAACATGAAGCTAAACGCAGCCAAACATTTTCAGGCTGCTCTTGAATCTTTCCCATGCCGCCATAATGAATTGATCCTGTTTGTGCTGAGACAACTGTTTTTGTTTTTAAATTTACTGAAAGGAAGCTAACAAGATTAGCAATTTCCCAAAGGTAAGGTAATGGTTAAAACATAACTAAATAAAGAACATGATAAATGAGCTACAAGCTAATTTAATTAGCATTAAAGTGTCATTGCTATATTCCAGAAAAAAAGGCCTTTTGATGTTTGCAATGATTTGAGATGTAGTTTTACTTTACATTTACTCAGATTACTATTTCTTAACCATCTTAATAAACTAAACTCTCCTACAGTTCATTCAGTGTCATGCACCACTCGCAGAGAGCTTAGCTGTTGGTGGTAGCGTCTGGTATTTATTAACGAGCCAAACATGTTTTCATCTTTTCCAAGCAGCCATCATGACTGTAATTGTTCCTCTTTGTGATGAGACATCGCCCTTACTGTTTTTCTTACAAGAAGCTAACAATATTAGCAGTTCTTGTCAAGTTAGCGGTTAAAATTCAACCCAAAGCACACTGCACGATGCGCTTTGGTGTGTAAATCCTTTAAACTGCTCAGATGACTGATGCCTGATTCTGATTGATGTAAAATGCCCATAAAAGCCTCAAACTCTTCCTCTTTCACCTCCCTCCTCTCGACAAAAACAGAGAACATGCAATAATCCAAGATGATGAAGACAGCCAAGCCTACATCTAAGACCGCTTTACACAGACGAGACACACAAAGGGACGAAACAAGGGACATTTGAACCCACAGTGGGGGGTTTTTTAAGCCACAACTATAAACACATTATTTACAGATGAGCGCATGCAATTTAAAGTGAGAGGTCAGCAGAAGGAGAAGAGTGAGGGAAACTCCGGTGTTAGTCAGAGGAGGAAAAATAAAGTACCAAAGCTGGACACACACACACATGTCTGCACAGTTTTACATGAAGCCTGTACAACGTATTTAAAATCTACATTTTGCTGCGTGTGCATACTGGAGGAGCAACATGGTGATATCCCCCCCCTCTGTTACGTTTCATGAGATGTTGATCCTTTAAGCAGTGCATACAGATCAGCTCCATCCACCACAGTGAAGCTGTTCTTACACAGTCTGTGAAGTTGAATGCAAACGTCTTCATCATAGTGGTTTGGTGCTTTCGCTTGGTCTCAGCATTGAAGCTCAGTGCATGTACTGATAGTAGGAAAATAAATGCTTTGTCCCCAAATGAGCCTGACTCGGTTGTTACTGCATATTTTTCTACAGTACGCATAAAGCATGTTAATGCATAAAGTCTTCAGAGTTACATGATAATGCAGCTGATAATATGATGTTATAATGGAAAGGACTTTGAGGATGATGTTCTCTGCAGAGGCCTCCGAAGCAGATTCAGAGTACGGAGAGTGATTTCTAAAAAATAAACTTCAGTTCTTTAAAAAAGACTGAAATACTGTGCGAGAGCTCTGAAAGAGAGATTGGCCAATCTAGACTCCATGTTTCAGCTACTGACTGCAGCATACTTATAATGAAGCAGCATGGAGCTATGATGGCCTACCTGTAGTCTGTGCTCTCCACAGTAAAGACTTCTAAGTAATGTTTTCATATAAAGACGTAGATGCATATGTATTTGAGGTGAAATGAACCGGTGACGACACAAAACGTCTGCAGCAGTCTCTACATCCAGCTACAGACTGGGAGTATGTACACACATAATGTTTCATAATAGCAATACAGCAAGACATGTATGGATGTTATGATTAAACTATATGTGATTAGATGCATTTTTTTTCTTTGTCTTATACATATATATATTTTGAGACACATATTTGTATTTCACACATAAACTGCAAATGCCCTGTCCTGAGAAGTTGATCCAAGTCCAACAGCATTGAAACCGATAAAACAAAACAAAAAAGTGTTCTGATTTTTTTGATCTGAAGCCATTTCTCATCAGTTCAGAGCCGTCATACCTCAGCTGAGGCTACATCCATTAAACTTTTCCATGTCATGTTCAGGCACTGTCTTTATGACGAACAGTCAACGCTCTGATGGCTGGAAGTTCCTAAAGCGAGGACACGTTTTCTTCATCAGGGCTACAGGAGTCTGATGCCCAATGACGAGTTTGGTCATTTTAGTCCTCTTGTTTACCGACAAATACACAAATTATAGGCTATGCTTTGCAAAGACTAACACATCTGAACACCTGTGGTAGGTCAAAGTCTATAGTTAATCCTTGTTCTTTTTTATGTTGGTTAACTGAATCCACATTTTAAAATGAGTTAACTTTTGTTTTAAATGCACAGTATGACATTTAACTCAAGGAGTCTCGAAATCAAAACCACGGCTATGTGTGAAATCACACACTATGGAATAGGTTGAAGACATTTTAATGTAGAAGTTTGTTTTGTTATTGTTCATCTCTGACTCTGGACCTTTTCAGGAACTTCCAACCATTGCAGCAGTGACCGTCCCAGTCATCAAACTAAACTCTGAAAACCTCTTTAGAGCGTATTACTCCCGAGAAACTTTGTCTAACACTGACAGTAAGATGTGAAAATACTGCCATGTAGTCTGTCATAATCTTCAAACAGCTGCGGTGGTTTGAATGACAAACAGGATGCAGGATGGTAAAACAGATCTTCTTAGAAATGGCTACAAATCATTTCTAGTTTTGATTTGGTGACTAACATGAGGGTCTGCCTCGTAAGCTAAATGCCTGCAGCTGAACTCCTGCTGTCTCTCTTTTGTTTGCTTCATTAGACAAAGTCCAGACAGCAGACGCCCCTGTTCCTCTGAGCATTACTTCAACAGTGCATTCAACATCAAACCCTGAATCACACTTTAACTCACTGTTTCAACACCGCTCCACATTAGCTCATGGGTAACTTTTCTTCTTCTTTACGTCAAAACGTCACAACGCTCTGTTTAAAAACTCTGAAGGACGCACTAATAGCCTTAATTAGTGAGCATGACATGAAGTTCAGAAGACGTTCAATAAAACACACACGTTTTCTCGTCTCAAACACACTGAAGTTTCCCTCCTGCTGCCCTCCTTTTTTTCCCCCCTAAAATGACATCACATAATCTGAAACAGTTGTAATCTGTGGTCTGTGTAAAAGATTTGTGCTCTAGCCTCTGTAGGAAACACCCCAGGGTGCTACGCGGTCAACCAACGCTGACGGTAGTCTGAAAAAATAGCTCGACACCCATCACCTCGATAAACGTCAATAAATTTACTTTTTTTTTTATTTTAGTAATCTTCTGTAAACTGTTAATTTGAAAATAAGCTCAAAGTAGATCCTCTGACTGAAAAATTCCTGAAAGATCTGGATCACATAAAAATGTACAAAACGTTAAAAACAACTTATTTAAGATTGGTATTCATTATCAATATTTCTCTTCTGTTTTTAAATATATATAGAATGTAACTCTGATGGTGGCTATTTTTGCGTTCAGTGACAAATCAATCCTTTAACCTTCTGTCCCCTCCCACTCCGTCATGACTGACAAGGCTGTACGACCAACCGGGTGCTCCGCTCTGTGGGCGAGAACCAATCAGAGCGGTTGGTGATGTTTACCAGAGTCGGTGCATCAGCTGATCAGCATCAGGAGCAAATAGACCGAAAACAACTTCTATCAAACCAAACCAACTACTTTTTGTGACTTTCTCTCCGTCCGTTGCTTCCCTCATCTTTAATTAACACAAACTGTTTCCATAATCTGGCTCTTCCTTTTACACTTGCAGTATTTTTTTTGCCTTTTTCTGTGAAGTCCATCACCGCCATAAATGTTTGTCGTAACACATAATTGGATCCTATAAGTGAAATGTTATTTCTCTTTCATCTCTCGTTTCTTAAAGACAGTAAAAGATGCTGCCAATGAGGTGAAACAAATCTACTTTTGTCAGGGTTATTCAATCAAATATATCGTTTCTCTTTGACCGGTTGACTGAAATCTTATAAACCGTCCAAATTAACTGATGTGAAAATGCTCTCGTCCTATTGGCAGACTCTCTCTCCTGCTGTTGAAACTGAATATAAGATCATATTTACGTGTTAAGACAAACATTTGACTTTATTTGTTTCCCTGCAGTGACTTCTCTCTCTCTCTCTCTTCAGTCTGACCACAGGTGCTCCATGGCCATGCTGATCCTGCACAGGATCCAGCGCCGCAGCGGGCAGTAATACTCGTAGTGAAACTGCTCAAACTCCGGCGTCTGGCGGATCTCGTGAAGGAACGACACGTCAATGTCTGACTCCAGCAGCAGCAGCAACGTGGGCACAGTGACAAGCAGCACGCCCATCACCACGGCGACGAAGCGGGCCACGCTGAGCACGCACGTGTTGACTCTCTCATTGGACGACAGCAGGCGCAGGCTGCTGCTCAGGACGCCGCTCACTCTGCTTCTCGACGCCAGGCGCGTGCGCTCGTAGGCCCGGTCCCGCTCCCTCTCGGCCTCCAGCTGGGCCTGGATATCCGGGTCTGAGTGAAGCTCCCTCAGTAGCCGGCAGGGCTCTGCACCGGGGAGGAGAAGAGGAGGTCCACCCCGCCCTCACTGTCTTCCACAGGGGTGGGCAACATGCTGGCACAGGGGCTGCAGAGGAGAAGAGAAACGTCACACCATCTTATATAAAGTCTGAATTAACTTTACACAGTTTCCATCATAGCTGCTCCAAATAACTTAATAATGTCAAGACGTTTATGTTCATGTGCAAACAGTCTCTAAAGTGTCTTATTGACACTTACAGCAGACACAGAGCTCCGCACGCACAAGGCCAAAAATAAGTTCCACTCTGCTTTCATGTATCATTTATTTTCTCATTTGTTCATTCATTTATTAGTCCTCTCTCTCTCTCTCTCTCTCTCTCTCTCTCTTACTTACATTTTCACTTTTAGTGTTAAGCAACCAGCCATGACCTTAATCATCCAATCATCGGGCTGAGGTCTCATATTTTAAATCAGTTCTCCTCTCTGATGCTGTCAACGGTCATTTTTCATCCATCCTCCTCCACACCCATTCACCTCCAGCTCATGTCACCCCCGTTGTCTGGGTTGAACTCTCCACCTGATCCCCTCCTGCTACCTTTCCTTCAGCGCCATCATCAGTGTCTACTCTCTCCATCGGGGGGGAACATGAAGTCATGATCTATTAAACCAAAGATTTTACACTTTTCTCCTTCTTATCAGCACTAAATATTGAAATAGTTTCTGAGGGAAAAGTCTGCCTCTCAAGTTGATAAATGATTCACTACTTATAGTCTCTGTTGCTCTAATGTTTCTGATGTTACGCATTTATTATAAAGAGTTTTTTTACTAAAGAAAAAAGCTCCCTGCTGACACCCAGTGCTTCAACGAGAGAGGTGGGAGGTCACCAAAAGAGGAGATCAAAACAAAAGACTGAAAGACGCTTAAATGTTTTTCATAAAATATAAATGAGAAGTGCTTTTGAATGTAATGAAACTCTACTCACCTGTAGACGAGCTCCGAAATGGTGAGGGGGCCGCCGCCCTCCTTGTCTTCCTCTGCTTCATCATTGGCTTTGGGCGTCTGAGGTCGGAGATTTGAGGTTTCCATGGAAACACGGGAGGGCTGCAGGTCATTGCTCGAAGCAGAGTTTCCTCCTCCGTCAGTGTTTTGTTGCTGTGTGTCAGCGGTTGCAACTGAAGGTTTGAGAGGAGACAAAGGGACGGAGTCCTTCATGGCTACGACACCTGAGGAGGGAAAAATCAGGACGGCTTTACACGACATCATACTCTGCTTTTACAGAAGACTTCAATTTAACCTGATACAATTAATCAGCCTTAAAATGAGATGACAGAATGAGATTATGCAGCATCATCACATGAGTCGGACAGAAAGGCATACGTTTTGGGGCGGTGGGAACATTTTTCACACAAACTGCAGATTACTGTAACAATAAAGTTCATATATAAAGATAGTAAATGTAAGTAAAGGTTACATATTCTGAGAAAAGAGAAAAGATGAGAGAATGAGCACATGTCCATAATCTTCACAACACTTTACTGTACAAAGTAGAAACTTATATATATGCACCCTTAAGTGTACATACCTTGTATTATTCTATTATTGTATTTTTCTCCCTTTATTTAACGGATGTAAATATGTTTGATTTTTAACTTCTTGTTATTTTTGATAATTATATTCCTGTTTCTTGAGCTGTTGTGAGAAAAAAATCTCCTCCATGGGGATCAATAAAGTTTATCTTTATATTTATATTCTTGGCTGTTTGGGGAAAGACAGTTTTCATTTTTCTCCTTCTATTGTTATACATATTTTTGATTATTGCAAATATAGACAAAACTCTTCTATGATCTGAGTATCACTCAGCAGTAAAGACCTCTATCTTTATCACTGCAGGGTCAAAGTTTGATATATTGAGTCTGGTCGCCGAGTAGGTAACATCTTGGTGATATAGATACGTTTAACTTTCCCACTGTTTGTATTCTAATGTTTTTTTTCCCACGACATGTTTACACTCCCGGATTGCACGTCAAATATTCCCGTTTCTGTCTGATGCCTCCAACAGAGACTTTTGAAAAATGTGACATTTCATTGTTCACTGCTATTTTCTTTGACTAAACTTTAGATATGAAGCCAAATTGTTCTGAATTATATTAAATAGTGATTGTTTTATTTTCACTTTAAGAGCTGACAATGAAGCTGCTGCCATGTTTTCCACAACCACTTGACTTTTTCTGAGTGTGATTCATTGTTTAATATCTGCTGTGTGCTCCAGTGTAGCCACGGATACACAGAAAGACAATATTTATGTAGATTGTTTGCTGTGGGAGAAAAGGGCAGTTGTAAAATGTGTCTTTTCAGTTGCAGTTAAAGACCTCGGCCACACGATGGCGCATTTTATTTTACTTTAGAATAGAGCTTCATCATACATCATCCAAAGTGATGTTTAAGGATGAACTACACAATCTGATACTCTAACTTAGGTGGTAGTATGTATTTATGTGCTTCACAGCCTTTTTAGATTTGTACTATGGATGCTGGCAAGGGACAAAAAGCTGTAGGCGAGGTAAAGACTTGTATCATCATCTTGACTCAGTTTTAACTTCATTGTGTAAAAAATTGCAATTTAATGTCACTAGAGCTTCATTAAAGTAAAGTTACTGTACAGTATTACAGAGTAGTGATTCCTGCTGACGTGACGCAGCCTGATGACAGAACGTGTGTGTGTGTGTGTGTGTGTGTGTGTGTGTGTGTGTGTTGTAAGATGCACGTCACTCTGAGGTGTTGACAAAATGATGAATTTGTCAGACATCACTGATGCCTAAGGTCACACGATCATTCAGAATACTAACGTCAGTGTCTGTGTGTGTGTGTGCGTGTGTTTGTGTGTGTGTGTGTGTGTGTGTGTGTGTGTGTGTGTGTGTGTGTGTGTGTGTGTGTGTGTGTGTGTGTGTGTATTTAAATGTGTTTGAGTGTTGAAAACAAGCCCAGCTGTCTTCCTGCTGTGGATTAAGAAGGAGCTGGAGGGTACATGTCCAGTGACAAATGACTCAGTCGACACCTTTTTAATCCGGACTCCATCTCCTCATTACACCCACACACACACAGCCACACACGCACAGCCACACACACACACACACACACACACACACACACACGGATTAAGATATTGTTAATATTAAGTGTGCAGTACGAGCTTGACACACAGTAATACCTTCTAACACATCTTTTAATACTTCAGAGGAGCACGCTTAAGACTCACACTCTCACAGTATAAAACTTCACAGATTTTAGAAATCACTCAAACAACAAATCTAACATGTAAGATCTGTGAGAGCGTACATCTTCTAAGTTCAGCGACGAGAGAAAGGTCGAGATGTTTTTTTTCGATCCGTTTATCAAAAGAGACATTGCCACAGAAAACACAGGGCCAAACTGACTTATCAGTTACCATGCCAACTGATTCAAAAACAACTTGAGAGAGAAATTAAAGGACACAAAGGATGAGAGCGGAAAAACCTGTGGAGCGAGCGGTGACAGCTACCATGGCAACAGAGTCAGCAAAGAGGCATGGAGTGGATGAACTGAGAGAGAAAGGGCAGCGAAGTTAAAAACACAAGGAGGTGGAAGAAAACGAGAGGAACAAAACAGCACAGAGGAGAGACATCTGAAGTCAACATTTGAAGAATACCTGTTATAGCTTTAATAAGATGAAGCTTGGTGTCTAAATCGATTACAACTTATTTCCAAAGTACAGTTTTACACTACATAAAGAGCAGACATTCATTATGAGAGAAATATAAAAACTGGATGATGACCACACTGAAGTCTTCCTCAAAATGACAGCTGATGTTTCAAAGTGGCTTTGAACTCAAACTTGAACCCAGGACACTGATGATGGGCGATGTCGGTGCAAGCCATCGCATCTAAATCGCCCTAAAATCAATAAAGCGGTTTTACACATGCACAGTTCTCCTGGAAATGTCTTGGTTTTCCCCTGCTCATATGATGTAAACGTCAGCACCCCGCCCATCACATGAGGGGAATCTTCCTGAGTATTATCTGCTACACCTCAGCTCCTGAAACTTTTTTTTTCAGATGTGGAGGGCAGTTTATGCAGGAAAGTGGATAGAGTTTGAAATGGGGGAGAGAGAGTAGGGGAAGCAGGTTGGATTTGAACCCGGGCCGCTCGCTTTGTAGGACTACAGCTTCCATACATGGAGTGCTTCTCTTTCTCCCCCCACCATCACAATATGCCTACACACGTGTTCTTCCCAGAAGACCGTTCTATACAATTCCCAGTAATGTTTAAACATGATTTTATTTAATATGTGCAAATTAATTCTGACAACCTGAGAGCAGACGGAGCCTGAAGTAGAGATCTCACTGAGTTATAGAGGGTAATGAAGGTACCACTTTAGATCTCTAATCCATAATATTAAGAAGAGAAAGAAATAATAGAAAGTCTAATTCTCCTCATCAGAGACCTTTATGTGCAGTAAAGGACTGTTTGGATGATTATTTATAAGCTGCACTCTTATGAACTGATCCTTTAAATTAAAAACGTCCCTCACAACCCGTACGCAGACATCTTAAAAAGGGCTCACAATATTTTACAGGTCAACAGAAAGAAATCTTGAGCCATTTTCTTTTTACCAAACATTACTCTGCTGGTTTAAAATACTGTCTGCTTTCCTTCCTGTAAGTGTAGATCCTAGTCTCTCCTTAGAAGAGGTGACTCCCCTGCAAGGTGCAACATTCATGAGTGGCATAAAAACACACTAATGAACACAGAAGCACTACACGCACACATACACACACAGAGTTGGTTATGCAGAGCTTTTTCTCTACATGCAACCCCGTAATTGTCAGAGCACCTTCAGCGCTCACCGTGTTCAACTGAGCTTGTGTGCAAAATCAGAGCGTTTTGTTTTACTAAACTTCTGTTCTTCTCAGCTCTTTTCCTCGTTGATTTCAGGAATACAAATGTTTTTTTTTTCTACCTGTTATCATAAGTTGTTTGAAAATGTATTGAAAGATCTGAAGTCAAATGACTGCATGTAAAGAACACTTGATTTTTATTTTTTATTTTGTTTCGACAGTGCATCAGACGTTATCCTCTCACGAGCTCCTGTTACTGCGATGGATAACACTTATCCCCCCCTTAACAATTTCAAGTGAAAGAACAGGATCATCTGTAAAGCACCCTTTGTAACCTGATGAGGATTCAGTTTCAGGTCAAGGACACTTGAACATGATGAGTTACGACAACAGGAGTGAAACAAAATGTGTACAGTGAGTGAAGGACCCCCTCTGTGACATGTATTAATGTCTACATGTTTCTAAACCTGAGAAGTTATATTCAAATGTTTGAAGTTATAAATGATGAGCTCGTTATTCAGTGCACAGTCAAACTTGTATTTCAATATCTCACATCCAAATATTAAAATACCTCTTGAATCCTGCAACATGCTCATTTCCTACTTATCTATCTACCGACAGTATCTCTGTTTTTCACCATTGACTTCTTAAAATAGAGATGTAGTCTCAGCCCCCTCACCCATTGGTTTCTGAAGAGGACTCATGACGCCCAACAATGGCGGCCCCGTTATCGGAAAGGGGTACGTCCAGCTAATCCAAAAGCCTGTGAAGAGTTGGAGTTGAATGAAATCTTGGTTGTTGAGACGCTCACGTCTAGCTCATGTGGCTCGTCATCTTATTGGCATATTCCAAACTATGAGAACGACACGAACAAAGCTGACAGCTTGAGGTCAGAAAGAGGATTCAGCTAATGTGAAGCCGCAGTGACAGTTGATCAATATGGCGCCCCACGAGAATGACCTTCACTGAATGCGATTTTTAATTAGTTTTCAATACAGACTACACATGTATGTAACGTTTTAAAAGGGCAAGGTGAATGTTATGTAGTTATTTAATCAAATGGGAAATCTGCAATAAAAATTTAGACTTGAACTGATCTAAAGTTACTGATCGATGACGTGTCTCCGGTCTTAGGCGCTAGACTCCAGCACTCCGGGCCTCCATTGACTTGCGTTAAAAAGTTGCACATGCGACATTTGCTCCTTTTTGATACAAAGGTGTCGGAGCATCGAAGAGCGCAGCAAAAAAAATAAAAACAGCTCCTGAACCGAGCCTATAAACATGTTTATTTTTGCTGTAAGAATTTGATTTTTAATATGGCCCCTATGACGATTCTATGACTTTTGGA